CACACACACATCTACTTGTTAATCACACGCGCACGCTTACACATCGTTACGAAAGAGCACTTACCAATACATAATAAAATAATAGACACGATGTAATTCACAAAATGCATAAATGGATACATAGTCATTTACATAATATTGTACTGAACATGAATATATTGGCATAAAAATGATGTCATTAAATGTGTCTTTAAAGATATTTTAAATTTAGACTGTGATGTTGTATGTCTCAAGGGTTGGGGAAGAGAGTTCCAAACTTATGGGGCAAGGTGGGTAAACGATCTTTCAGCTAATTTTTTACCTCCTTTTCTAGGAACTCTTAAAAGATACTGATCGCCTGATCTTAGTGATCTAGATGGAACATTATTCTGGGTGAGATCACTGGGACATGAGGGGGCTTTGTTATTGACACATTTATGACATACTATGTATGGCTCTTTTCGTCTATGCAGACGGTCAATTATTTAGCTTAAGATGGTCTCAAGATTGTCTTCATGCAGCTTCTTTCATGGCTAATTCTTCTTATGTTTGAAGCGCAGATTCTGTTGCAGTGCTTGCATGTCAGTGTCGTAGATCGAAGCTCTGACATACTATCTGACATACTATCTGACATACTATCTGACATACTATCTGACATACTATGACATACTATTACACTTTTATATGACATTCTAGCTTACATGGGAAGCCAATCCAACGTTCTTAACATGATACGCTCTCCGTCTTACAAACTGAATCGTGTGTTTGACTAGCATGAATAAATGGTATGGATTTCACGCCCCTTTCAACCGACACCCAGATAAGGATTCGAAACTGGGAGTTTTTCGTCGTAACCTAGCATGATGTGAACTGGGCCGTCGGCGCACCTTTGAAAGCATAGAAGGAGTTCCGACTCTTAACACCATCCTTACTTCATTTGTTATTAACCCAATCCGTCCTTACCTGTGTGAGTAGTGTATAGGCTCTCCTGTTTTAGTTTTAGTAGAGATTTTACGGTGCTTGCAACTGCATAAGATCATATGAGCGCCAGAATACTAGAGGTGTTACAAGAGAGTAACAAACATAAAAAGAAGAAGGGGAGATTAGGACGATAGATGTCATAGGCTCTTCGCTGTTGTGCACAGAGGATGTCAGTTCAGTTCCCATACAGGCAAGAGGTAGGGTGTTATTCTATAGAGTAGTTCGATTTGTCAGCTGGAACGCTGCATTTCACTCGACCTGAACTGGGCTTAGAGCAGAGACCGTAAATGGCTTAGAGGCAGGATCGAAGCCGCTAGCCTCCTTTAATAAATATCTAAGATAAATAGGAAATAAAGGGGCACAACTCATTCAGAATCAAATCTGTCAATCAATTATCAGACACCTGCGCCGACTGCGACCGTAACGCCCGCTGCCTTTTCAACGACGCCACCAGCGACTACGAGTGCGTGTGCGTGCGTGGCTATGCTGGAGACGGGAACACCTGTACTCTGAGAGACTGCAGGGATGACCCTGGCATGTGCGACCAGGAAGGCGGCCTCTGCTGGCTGGACGAGTCCAGAGATGTCGGCATCTGCAGGTGTAACTACGGCTACAGAGGTAGGTGTTTCTTTTAGTTTAGTTTTAGTAGAGGTTTTACGGCGCTCGCAACTGCATCAGGTTTTATGTGCGCCAGGAAGTGCTTATTTGACTTCATAACGAACATAATAGCACAAAAAAGAATGGTTAAGATTTAGAATAAATGTTATGATGATGATAATAATTGTAAAAAATGACGTTTATTCAACAGCAACAAACAATAATAAAAATGATAACGAGAATAATGATAATAAAACTAATACTAATACTTATAATAATGATCATCATCATCATTGTCATTATTGATACGATTTTCAACAGTATCATTAAATTATTATTATTATTATTATTATTATTATTATTATTATTATTATTATTATTATTATTATTATTATTATTATTATTATTATTATTGTTATTGTTATTGTTATTATTATTATCATCATTATTATTATCAGTATTCTTATTCTTCTTATTTTTTATATTATTATTATCATTGTTATTATTATTATTATTATTATGATGATGATGATGATGTTGTTGATGATGATGATGATGATGATGATGATGATGATGATTTACTATATTATTACTATTATTATTATTATTATTATTATTATTATTATTATTATTATTATAAAACTAAACAGGTGACGGGTTCCGGTGCGAGAAGACCAACTGTGACGTGTACAACGACTGTGATGCCAACGCTAAGTGCGTGCCGGACGGTGATTCCTTCCGTTGTCAATGTAACGAGGGATACATCGGCTCAGGGAAGAGGTGCAGAGTTGCCAGTGAGTTTTTAGTTTCGAGGTACACATAAATGAAGACCATCACCCCATTCACGCCCATTCACGCACATTCACACACAACGACAATAACAAAGCAGCAGCAGCAGCAGCAGTAGCAATAACGACAACAGCATCATCATCATCATCATCATCATCATTAACAGCAACAACAACAACAATAGCAAAGCAGTAACAACAACCCCTCCCCCCCCCAAAAAAAAATAATTATAAAAATTTAAAAATCTCTTCTGTGAGAAGTATTCTGCTCCTATTGGTGAAAATTAATGACGAGGATAATGCACATCTTTACTTTCTTCTACCGATTACTGACGCTTGTTATCATACCATTATCTTCGAATTGAATTTAATGAGGAAACTAAAGCAACACGGCTGCAAAGTTACTCGTACATAAACTGCTAAATTTGTAAATATCTCACCTGGGTTTGAATCAACTGACCATTACACTCCTCTCCTCCCCCCCCTCGCCCTCCTCCCCCCTCACCACCCCCTCCCTCCACCTCACCCTCAGCCACCGGTGGCTGCGAGGAGCTCAACGACTGTGACGCCAACGCCCGCTGCCTGCAGGACCCACGTGACGAGACCCGGTACATGTGCCGCTGTAACCCGGGCTTCCAGGGAGACGGCAAGATCTGCCAGAGAAGAGGTACGTCATACGTGTGACTTCGTTATGGTTTTAGTACAAAAATAAAATGATTTTAAAAAAAATAATCATGAAGGTGACGGTAATAGTAATGCTTCCACAGAAGAGAGTATCTCTGTGAAGAGAAGTAGAAGCATTAAAGGTTAAGCTGACTTGTGGCTTCTGCTGTGGCTAATGAGACAAGACTGGCAGAGAAAGGTTTGCCACATTTTGAGCATTTAGAAGCTTCATTTCCACTTGAGGCTGTACACAGCTTGTGACCCCCTCTCTTAGCGTTAGTGGTACGTTATAAAAGTAACTTGGTAACGCTTTTGCGTTCTTGTAAATCATAATATGCCTACTCATGACTTAGTAATTCTGTTAAACGTGCATCATAATATACATTGGATTTTTTTTTGTAAGAGGAAAGAATTGCTCTATCACTGCTTTGATTTTTTCAGCAGGTCACCTTCCCCGCGTTTTGTGTGTCAATGCAATTTCATTTTCCACGAAATGGCCCCAATGCTAATGGTAGTTTGTAGTCATATCTTGATACTGGTACGCTCTACGCTTGCTGTCAGTGGTGCGTCATACACGTTACGTGACCCTGAAATACTGTTCATGGTGTGCCATTTTGGTAATTGGCGTTACTGATATAGATCTAGGCCTTTCTTGTTTGTTTTTTAGATGCGGCTCGACATTGAGAGTATTATGTTAGTATCACCATTGGGGCTCACGGTATCGCGACTTCATTTTTTGGGCCGTATCTCCATTATTTTAACAGTGAAAATGTGACTTCTTCTTAGTTTTAGTTAGTTTTAGTAATGGTTTTACGGCGCTCGCAACTGCATAAGGTCATATGAACGCCAGAAGATTAGAGGTGTTACAAGAGAGTAACAACCATAAAAAAGAAGAAGGGGAGATAAGGACGATAGATCTTTGACAGGAAAGAAGAAGCAAATCACATCAGAGCACCCGCCAACCACCCACGACTTCTTCTTAAGCTCACTCTTTGTTATGAACTGTTTTCGCTGTTATTAAAAATGGAGATGCGACAAGAAAGCACTGAGGTCGCGGTATGTTTTTTGTTTTTTTATAGTAGAGGGTTTTACAGCGCTCGCAACTGCGGTATGTTTAACAGTACGCCTGTTTTCGAGAGAGTGCTAATATTAATAACATTGTCGAGGCTCACGGCTTGCCTACAACTGAAATTTTAAGTTAGTCACAACCATGGTCACAACTATGGTATTTTTCTGATACCATGTGTGATAATTTCGCCGAATAGAAAAAATACAGTCTCTATTCAATCATCACTTTTAAGAAATCCTATGTACCTTGAAAAATTGTAGCTTTTGTTTTTGTCCAGTGGTACCATGCAACCAAGTGAACAACTGTGACCGAAATGCCGAGTGTATGTACGACCCGGACCAGATGTCCTACAAGTGTGTATGTGCCCGCGGGTTCGAAGGGAACGGGATCGAGTGCAGGAGGAAGCGTAAGTTGTGGTGTTCTCTATGTCATGTGTATGCAGCTGACTTGTGTGTGAATGCAAATGAGTGTATGTTTATCTATGTGCGTGTGTTTGCTGTGAATGTGTAAATCTTTTTATTTTGTGTTTACGTGAGTACGCTTGCATATTTCGTGCGTCTGTCTGTCTGTCTGTCTGTCTGTCTGTCTGTCTGTCTGTCTGTCTGTCTGTCTGTCTGTCTGTCTGTCTGTCTGTTTCTCTCTGTCTCTCTCTGTCCCTCTCTGCCTCTCTCTGTCTCTCTGCCTCTCTGCCTCTCTCTCTTACCCTCTTTGTATGTGTGCGCACTCGCACGCGCGTGTGTGTGTAAGTATGTGTGTGTGTGTGTGTGTGTGTGTGTGTGTGTGTGTGAGTGTATATGTCTGTGTGTCTTTGTTTATAAGCTATTATTGTGTAAAATTCATTATGTTAATGTATAAAGACATGATAAAGCCTATCTTGTTCGTCAAGGACAAAAACTGAACGAGAACAGAAAAGTAGGGGCGATTCTGTTTATTTTTGTGCTTCTGTTTGACAATTCTATATTCCGAATTTTAATGTGGTTCTGCAAAGATAGGCCATGGTTGGGAAACAAATGAGGGTAGCAGAAGAAGAGAACATAATCGACAAAGAAAATGCCCACTTCAGTTTGAATTATTTTGAGGTGTTTGTATAGGCTACGTGTTCAAGAAAACATTGCCAATAATATCATGCAATGAAACATTACAACGTTACTATAGCCTTTCATTTTTTTGTGACTTTCGAAAGATTCTGATGGAACTCACTCTGTTTTTTTAAGGCTATCGTTATCGCCACAGACAGCTAAGTCGTAAGTTATTTCTAAGTGGACAACAGCTATCACTAGAACATACACTTAATTAGTTGAAGCACATTATAACTTCCGTTATCTGCACTTGGTTACAGGTACTTGCATGTCTTAGTTTTTGCCAAGAATTTTTCCTTTGACTGCCCCCTCTCCCTCCCCCCTTTTCCTTAATTGTCTTCCTAATCCCTATTCGATCATTTCACTGTCCATAACAGAAGACTTCACGCGATAGTCAGGCCAAATTTAGTATTTGCAAAGTTAAAATGTAATAATTTTGTACAGTTAGGTATCGTTGCCTACCAATGAAACCCACACATATTGACCAAAGTATTCATTTCAATTAACCACATGAACCTTCTGTAGAGTAAATTGATGTTCCATCCTGTCAGATTATTAATCCTGTCATTTTCAATAATATTGTACAATATCATGCATTGTTGGGGTTTTTTCTTTTTTTCTTTTGCATTTTTAAAAGAATTTGCTACGAAAGTGTGTCAGGAAGTTGATAGAGCTGTGATTATAATATGCATATTTTCGTCTTGGAGTCTTCTGTCAATTTTTTCTAAGGACTTCTCACGACGCTCCTTTGAAATCTCACCTTGGCATACTAATGTTACTTCACAAATGTTTTCTTAAATATTAGTTTTATTTTTCCATCAATGTTTCATTAATCCGGCGTGTATTAAACACAAAGACTATCCACTCACCAAGGTGGTCGAAATCTTGCCATTGAAAACAACACTATACTATTTTCTTTTGCGTTAGTCGAAATTAAAGTTTATCATATCATTATTGTCTGTTGATGATAGAGAGTTAAGGTGAGATGTCTTTATACCCGCTGCACTCCCTCCCTTCTTTGTTTCCCTACCTTCACTTCTCCCTCCCTCTACCAATTGTTCTTTGTTAGTGTTCCCAGCACAAATCCCTTGGATTATATTTTCTCATTACGTTTACTGGATCTATTTTTCTGACTTCAACTGAATATGTTTACACTCTAAGGCAAAAGACACCACGCATCTGGCCGTTATTATGTGTGCAGACACACCGCACACTCCAACGTCACTTTCCAGCATCGAACAGGCAGACGACTTTCATTGTGGGAGCCAACTCCTTACACTATGCCAGATTCCTCACTTTGTCCAGGAGCTACCTCCCCTAGATGTGTTACCATTTTGCTTGTTTAAAAAATGATTCTAATAGCAAAGAACATGTTTATCTTTCCCTATTGATCTGGAGCTCTATCGACTCAGTATTAATGTACTAGAACATATTATTTCTGAATTCTTTTCCTATCAAAACCTTTCTCATGAAGCGAGCGCACAAACAAATTTAAGGGCTAACAAAAAGGTGACCTTGATGCCTTCTCTATGACCCCCTCTCTCTTTCTATTTCTCTCTCTCTCTCTCTCTCTCTCTCTCTCTCTCTCTCTCTCT